CTTACAGCATTGATTACACATTATATTTTTTGTTGTGTTACAGTATGGCGACACTCCATTTCACGAATTGTTGCAAAGTGACCATGAATACCAAGTTCACCAAGACGGAACCCAATCCTTGTTACATGCTGTAGCTGACCCGACTCTATTGAACCAGGTAAATTTATATATACATATATATATATATATGTATGTATGTATATATGTATGTGTATATATATGTATATATATACACATATATATATAAATCAAGATAGGGTGTAGGAATAATCTAAACCGTCTTTCGAAATGCTATATAAATAAATATATACGGTAAGTAATAATAGTGCTCAGATAGGAACATAAGATGTAATGATCATACCAAATGTGGAGTGGTCATCTAAAACTCCAGTTGCCGTTAAGTTGGAAAGCAGGTTGGACCACAGCTTTGTTATTATAGAACGACACAGGGGTCCGATAAAGTATTGGTTAAAATGTTAAGATATAATATGCACCTTTAAGTTTTATTACAAAAAAATATTTTAAAAAATGTGTACCGTATTCCGTACATTTTCGACTGTCTTAAAAATTTGGACCTTGTCGATTTGGGGTGGGATGTTGGGGAGCGTACTCACCAACTCATATTAAAATAAAGCTTTATTAACATGTACATAATGTATTAAATCAATCAAACAATCAATTTTATTTTGTATTCCTGTACCGGTACCTCATGAAGGTATGAATGTCATAAGGTTTCCAAAAAGTGTTTTTAATCTAATGAGATTTATACTTAATTAGGCTAAATTAACACAGATGCCAAAATGAAAATAGTTTGAATGTATTTCTCACTAGTTCAATCTCTTTTATTTCAGTGTCGCAGGTCAAATCTGCCGATCCATCAATAAGTGAAAAGTCGATGTATAATCATTGTCAGCGGAACACGATGTATTAAATTGCCGGAACACAATATGAATATCAATAGCCGGATTTATGAGGTCTTAATTCTACAAATAATCGTGCGCGGATATTTATTAGGATTTATATCACTGGATCGCCAGAATTGAATCAAATTTGCCAATTATATTTCTTATACAACGAACAAGTAATTCTCGAACGATATTACATAATTAAATATAATTAGGCCTAAGCATTGTTATATTATATAAAACTAGAATCTTTATATTCTACTTATATTACGTTTATATAGTTCTGATGTACCATTTCCGAGTATGTAAGAAATAAAAGTAAACTGTAGTGTAATTTATAATACATCACTGTGTGTACTTCCTTTGTCGTAATTGCATTAATAATAAAAATAATATTAATCAGTACAGGTATATAATGAATTAAATATATTATAATCACTTCGAATTCAAATATAGCACTTTTACAGGCTACTATATCTTATAAACATTCTTTCCAAATATATTCACATGATACCAACAAATTTCGGAACTTTTCAGAGCAAGGTGCTGTCGAATTTTACAATACAGGAAATGACGTCAGTTGCTAGGCTACAGGTCATGCATATTCAGTAACACCTGTGCTCATTAGACTAACAATAAAAACTTTTAGCTCAGTTTTGACAAAATCGACCAAAAAGATTTTATTGTTAGTCTAATTAGAACAGGTGTCACTGAATATTCATGATTATGCATGAGCTTGTTGCTTAGCAACCACGTCATTTCCGGTTTTATGTTTTTGCTGAGGGCGTCCTCGAAAGAATTGCTAGTTTAATAATTAAAGTAGCACATATCGATGAAGCAATCCTTCACTTTTGGTTTAAGCTTATAATAAAGATATTTTAGCTATTGAATTTATTAGAGTAATCACAGAATTAAATAAAATGAGAAGGGATTCACAATTCCATTTGATATTTATTTTCAAGCATTGAAATCAAGTTGGATGTATACATTTTATATTTATATACTGTAGCTCTATCTCATATACATCCGGAAAAAATAAATAAACCTGAATTTAATCCTCAAAATGTTATATCTTATTATCTTACATGTCTATACTCTTTACAACAAACGGGTTACTTTATTAATAAGATAAACATTAGCAGCAATAATACAATATTGATAAACATACAGCCTACAAGAATTAATACATATTGCTAACATTATTTTTGAGATTTTTGCAGAGGAAAACATATTAAAAATAAATTTTACACTATATTTTAATTAATTTCATATCCAGAGACTTGATGAGTGACACAATTTGTGGCTATCTATGAATAATTGGTAAGTTCAGTTGCCATTTCAGTCCGGACATTCTTTCCTGATAGTTGTGGCTTCTTTGTCTACATCACTGGAATAGAAAAATATTGAGAATAAATTAAGAAACAGAGAAAGAATTATAATGGAGTATCATCAAAACATAATATATAAATAAAAACAGTGGCAGATCCAGGTGTTTGAAATAGAGGGGCCCACGGGGGAGAGACTTTGCCAAATGAAGGGTTCCCACCACCTCAGGCCCACCGTGGTTGGGGCGGTGGTAAGAAACTTTTCGATTAATGCACCTCTAGATGGCCAGAAATGGCACTCTCAATGAACAATAAGTGAGCACCCCAAACTTAACATTATCGTATTCAGTTATCACAATGGACAATGCTGCTGATACAACATAACACAATTCTTATCATATCAGCATTATCATATTAAATATAAATTATTTATAGTAATAGTATTATCATATTACAGAATGATGTGAGGATTATTAAATACATGGTATTGGGTAGGACTTAGTAGATCGCAATAGCGCAAACAAATTATGTTAGCATTCCGATTTATAAAAAGTGTACTATTCGATAGAAATAAATATATAGATTCATAAATAGAGTATATTAAAACAATAAACATATACTATAACTATATCTTCATACAAACATTTTTTTTATGATATAATATTTTTTGAATGACTAATTGAATTTATTCGATGCTCAACATGCTTAAGCAAGATAACAAATGGATTGAGATCAAGAAAAGTAAAATTACCGAACATCAGGAACGCCCATTAGGCCGGAGTCCAGCCCATTTCCAATGAGGTCCAATTTAAATATACGCTTGTCTGTCATGAGCTGAAAGATAAACAATGTCATTTCACATTTCGACTTTCTTTTGGAGGGACGCCACGAGCGTTTCCTGTTAAACGGATACCAGCGCATTATTTAATTATTATTACTATCATTCTTATTCTTATTTATTATTATTATTATTATTAGGTCTGTTATTAGGCATATTATTATTATTATTAGTCCTATTATTATTATTATTATTATTATTATTATTATTATCATAGGCCTAGCTATATAAAATGCTCAACTGCTCTGTATTTTCCCCCGTCTAAATTATCTAAATTATTCGAAAATTAATTAAAAAATGGAGGACAAAAATGAAAATTGTATTCATATTTAAGTCGTTTCCGGCCATCTAGAGCATGGACCATGTAGGTGACATCATAAATCCATAT